TATTTCAATATGTATATATATATATATATACATATACATAATCATCCTCTACAAACTCCGTTTGTATATGTATACATATAATATTATATAAACAATATTGATGATAGCTTTGAAGAATCAAGCTCTACTGAGTTTGATGTACCCATTACAAATGTATTGACAAAAGAGCAGGATTTACTTTTAGTGTTAATAGATAAACTTGAAGATGTTGAACAAAGGAAAATTTTCTTGACAAAATTTAAACCAGTAGTACAGGAAACCCCTTCAACCTCTAAAAATAATTATGATCACCTAGCAAACCATCCTAAATTACTTAATACCTACAATTTAACAGAAATACTTGAGAGATTCCCTAAAAAATCTAAATAGGTAACAGTACAAGACTTACAGAATGAAATAGTCCAACTTAAAAAAGAGATAAAAAAAATTAAAGCAAGACAAGAATTAGAAAGATTAACATTAAAACTGATATATATATATACATATATATTTATATGCATAGTTTAACAATGAAAGATGGTATAGAGTTGTTAATGGTTGGGCAGCTAAGATGGTTGTTAAGGACGATCTGAAGAATGTTTTGATGCAAATGAGAGCTAGTGTGTATTTTGTAAGACCATGGTTGATCTACTGCAAATATTTTTGAATTAATATGATTAAAAATAAAAAGAAATGGTTGATGAATCAATCTTTTTTTTTTTTTTTGCATCATTGTATGATGATGCCACCATTGAAGGTATTACTGTTTTCCATTCAAAATTGCAAGCAAAATTGATGTTTTTTTCCTTTAAAATTGGATGGCACCAGTGAGAATCAAACCCTCGATCTCTTGGTAATAACCATCTCCCATCCTAATCACCGAACCCCACCCAACCCTCCTACCCCCGCAAAAACTAATGGAAACTAATGGAAATCCCAAAATTTAAAAATCTTTTGCAAATATACTTGAGGTGCTTTGAGAAAGAACATCTTTTTTTTTTGACAAGGTTTTGGATATAAAGCAAAGGTGAAGAACAAGAAAAATTTGACTAGTACCTAAATATAAAGAGTTTTTCTCAGATTGTGAGAATCTGCTAGTAATTGATAATATATATGTGTGTGTGTGTGTGGTACATTGATAACAATCTCGCAGATAAAACAAATTTTTTTAATGCAACCATCTTACAAGAAAGTATGAAGATAAATTTTTTATCCCGTGAAACTCAAAAGAATGTGGGAAAATCATAGTAAAATAATTGTTATCTAAAGGCTTCTATCTCGTTAACTTATACCAAACGAAGAATACATAATCTATGAAAAATTTGAATTAAATAACAACTCACAAAATAGTAAGGACATTGTTCAATATACTCGAACAATCACTCATCAAGAGACTTGAAATATGTAGGAGCAACCAATACTCAACTATAGAGAAATACTATTGAGTTAATAATCTCCATAATCAAGAACCAATATGCAATCAACACACATCTGATTCGGATTGCTTAAACCCAAAGCAAAACTTATCTCTAACAATTGAATCAAGAAACATACTTGAAAAGAATGGTTTCTGCGAGATCTCAAAAGACCCCAAAACAAGATACTAATTCCACATGAATAAAGATACTCTTGCAAACGACTCATCAGAGAGAACAATTCAAATGACCAACAAGGCTCATTAGAAAGAAATAAATCGACCAACAAGGTGCATTTTTTGTTGTAAATATGAGCTACTCAGCTTTTCATTATTATATTTACATTTTCACCAAAAAGAATAAAAATTCTAGAGTAAGGGAAGAAGCATTCAACAGAAGATTTATTTGTTGCACATAATGTCTCTTGGTTTTGAATGATGGAAGCCTTGGACTTCTCTACTAGAATGCAGTTTACACATTTATGAAACTAAAAGACAATAAACTGTGTTATACTACTATAGAAAACATATATCAAATAAACCAGATGACCAAATTCTTTGTGTGAAAGTAAGATCTTAAAAGATGGTTCGAATAAAAGCAAGGGTTGGTTACCTTTTTTACATAGATATATATTGCAAAATGTTAGAAATTTTGAGAAATTTGCTCATGAGCTATACACATTAATAAAAATATGGTCATTAATCTAATAACAGACAATTTGAGAAAGTTGTTGTTGAGCTATACACACTAATAAAAATATAATCATTAATCTAATAACGGACAAATCACCCAACAATGATATGATTATGAATAGACTGAAAAAGTTGTTCCAAGCAATGGTTATTAATTACATCATATATGGATTAATTCTTTTAAAGTGGTTCATTTGAAATATGTGGCATTCAATGATTATTGAAGATTGAAGCCTAAATTCCAGCCAAAGTTAAATCCTAGACGAAAAGAAAAGGAAAAGATTTCCAGTTGGGGTTCATCGATTTATTTAATTTTATTCAATTCCGTTTTGCCCATATCTCTTTATATCCAACTTTTGAGAGTCATTTTAAAATGTTAAATAGTTGACATTTACAATTAACTAGTGCTTAGCATCCATTCTACAAAGAATTTGCTGTATTAATTTTGGTTTTCGGAGAAGTTTGATAATGTTAACTTTGATGATTTTCAATGTTTGTCGAACGATAAATAAAGAAGTTATTAAAATGACTATGCAACTAACTTTATATAATGACCGTGAATTCTAATAATTGCAATTGTATAATAAAATGAATAATATGAAAACAAGGTTTTATAAATAAATTTGCCTGAAGTGGGCATCTCTCTCAAGTTATTGCGAGGTCGAATATTTCTTCGAAAATCACATTCCGAATTTTTTCATCTTCGACCACATTGTCTAAAGTCGACGACATTAGGAAAACTTCAACGATTTGGACGTTTGGTATAGAAAGTCTGAAATAATCGGACACAAATAGCATGTCATAAAAACATAGAACAAAGTTGTTTCTCTTACAAATATAGAATAAAATTGATATTTGAGATGGGGTAAACAATTTTTTTTTTCTTTTTTTGAGAAGTGGGTGAATAATTCTTTTCCATTGATTTTTATAAGAAAATCTATTTAATCCTATCTCCCATTACATCCTTCATTGAAATTCATTCATTCACTTGATATTGAGGTTCCCAGTTATTAGAAGATCCGGGCAAACAATAGAATGGAAAAAATATCTATTACAATAGAAAGTATGATCTAAATTTGATTGCAGAAGTGCAATTATAGGAGAATAGTAGGCACAATTAATGGTCAGAATTGATACATTCTTGGGTTGTTTTGCATGAGATCTGGAACATCTAGGGCAAAAATGAAGTGCGCTTAAGAGATAGAGTATTTAGTTGCAAGGGCTTTTAGGAAGGGGGCTTGCTTTGCGAAATTTTATTATGAAAGGCAAAAAAAAAAAAAAAAAGGAAAACGGCCAGCAAAATTTTGCACGCTGGTCATGCTACCGCATTGACCCATGGTATGACTCGCGTGCACTATTTTACTCCGCGTATAGAGGGGATTAGGATGAGGGACGATTATTAGCAGGAGGTCGTTGGTTCGATTTTCTGGGGTTATCCAATAAAAAAGAAAAAGAAAAAATAGTCTATAAATAGGAGGCCAAATTTTCACTTTAAATAAGACCAAGTCTAAAACCAAGTACAAATTCTATTTGGTTCAGACTTCAAATTAATTCTTGAAAAATAAAAATTATACAAATTAATCTATAGCATAAAGATAAAAGTTTCGTTGAGCCAAAAAAAAATTCCTATAATATAAATGAGCGGGCGGTTTATTCCTCAAAATAATTAGCCGGACAATCGTCCTGTGACATCAGCCGTACATCACCTTTTTAATTAGTATACCAATAGTTGATACTATAGCAAAGTTAGTTTCATTTGGTCAATTTGTAATCTTTCAAAATTTTGGCAAACTGCCAGAGAAATTAGAGTTTCATCATTTGTTTTAATTTATATTTAGACATATATAATAAGAATTGTCACAATATATGACAATTGTTATAATCTGTAAATCTTGTGGGCTACCTCATGTATTTTCTATTGTTTCATATATATATCAAGTTCCATCCCTGCCAAGTATTATCCTGGTTAAACAAAAAAAAAGGATAATTGTTATCAAACATATTACAATCTACTTCATGCTAGAAAACTAAAAATGGGAATAAATCCACTAATTGGGTTATACTATGAATTCAGGCTAAACTAATTCTCTCGACCGCCATGGGAATATAGGGAAATGATATTAAACTAAACTAATTGCCTCGTTCACCTTGAAAATATGCGGAAAAAAAGATTATAATTTTTTTCCCTTAGTATTAAAGTAGAGAAATGTAACAATATTTATAAGACCAGGTATTAGTTAATAAAAATGATGGAATTTGTATCGAGATAATATAGCTAGGTTGCATCTTTTTTCTTTTTTTTTTATATATACCTTTTTGGTCATTGGACAGAAAAGAGTTTCGCTTCCTCTGCATGAACAACTTAAGTACCTCAAAAATGGCATTAAGTCATTGTTTCACCGTGATGTAATAGGAGCTTAGTAATGTACCCGAAAAATATAATTGTGTGAGTACAAGTAATAAAATACTTGCTCCTATCTTGTATCCAAAAACAAAGAACTATGAATCCGTACATTACAAATTTCAATTGGAGAATGGACCCAAATATATATAATATATATATATATATTTATATATACACACATATAAATCCATGATCAAAGTAGTAACATAGTTTATTATTGGAAAAAGATACTCTTGGTGAATGAAAATAGTGACAAAATATAGTGACTGATAATCATGCCCTCTAGTTTTTTGCTACTTTCTCGTTGAAGTTTTATTTTCCCCCAAAATTATATTTTTACCCTTGATTAATAAATAGACATATTTAACAAGTGTATGGTATATTTGTCTTTTCATTTGTCACTATATATTTTTACTATACTTAGTCACTGGATGTATCATTGCTGTTATTATTAATGCCTTATTTCACATACTTTGTGAACTTAGTTCAAGTGTTACAAGAATGATCAGGCACTAACTAGGATGAACATAAAAAAGGCAAATTATCAACGAGATTCTTATTTTCTAAAACATGTAATTTAGCAAAAACGCCTACAAGAGGAGCAGTGTTATAAGTGCAAGCTTCAGATTGAACGAAATTTGACCTTTGGTCATAGAATTGGTCATTTTTATCTGGTCCACCAATGATAGCTCCAACAAGGACATTAGGGTTTGGATCTTGTGTCTTAAACCATCTCTTATATCCTTCCATACATCCTGTATATCTAATGTTTTTGTCATGACCTTCAATAGATGCTCCTCTATGGTGTACTCTTTGTGGGTATTTTGAACCATATCCAACCAGGTAACTCATTCCAATGGGATTCGACCCCAAAATATAGTCTACTTGCATTTTTGCAAAAGCATAAATTTCATCCCCTGTCACTAAAACTTGCCCGCATTGCATGTTTTGGTTTGTGGCTTTGAGATGATCAGAGTATACCATTAGCAGTAATATTGCAGTTGTAACATATTGCAATGCGTTCCATTCTCTAATGTACAATAACCCACCTGGTGTACGAGGAACATTTGCATTATTGTTGTTTCTGTTCAATTGGGCACAAATATAGTGCTCTGCATTTGAATGAAATTCTTGAAGAATTTTGTTGTATTCCTCATTATTCTCCCTAGGCAACTACAACAACCACAACAAGAAACAATGAACAAATATAATGATAACAAAAAATTAGCTAATAAAAGAAATCACAGATAACTGGTTTAAAAAGGTCAACTTAGTTTGTTAAAAATAAGGTTGTAACAGTTAAGATTTATCCCATAGACAAATAATATCAAAAAATGAAAAGAACGCCCCCATGAATCAAAGTATCAATAGCATTTTATGGATTCTTTTAACATTCTTACATCTCCATTTGATTTTTTTTAAGTATGCACGTTTTGGATTGAAAATAAAAAAAAAAAAAAACGCCTTCACTAAGCCCTCTTAAACAACATGATCAATCATCTTTGATAGAATAGAAGATTTTAGGATGAAAATGTTACCATTGCAACTAGGACTTGAACACCAGCAAACTTCAGATCCCAACTGAACTCTCTTATTGCCCATGTAGTTCCATTGAAAGACTCACCATTTCCCAATGCATAATTTAAATAATCAAATTTATGAGTGGCCTTGTAGAGCCACAAAGCTGCCCACAACAATTCATCCTTGTATCCGCTTGTGGATGCATAATATTCCTTTACAACCTCAATGCTCTCATCATATTTGCCTCTAAACTTGTCAGCAAACTCAAACAACTTCATTGAAAAAGATCAATCGTTTTTAAAGAACACCAAGAAATACATGTTAACATTAGCAAAAAAAAAAAAAAAAATTGTGTACAGTCTATTTTGGGATGGGGATAGTAATAAATTCAATTACGTAATGTGTAAGTAACTAGATTTTATATATTTTTCCCATGAATCAAAATCAACGTATCAATGACTTTTTTCTTCTTCAAATTGTTTTCATTTTATGCTATGCATGCACACAACACATATATGTACATTTTAAGTGTAACTGTTTACGTCTTTAAGGTAACAAAACCAAAATCAAATGCAGTTAACACTATACTTATTTTTCTTTGTCTAATTTAATTATGCTTTGTAAGATAGACTGAATATTGTAGGCTATAAGAATGGAAGACTGTTGGCTCTATAGTGTGATATACACTTTCTATGTTGTCAAACCTTACAACACAGTTTAATTAAATCGAGTTTATAATCTTTAACGGTAGTTAACCTTAATATTCACTTTCCCTTTTATACAGATTAGCATTAAGACTCCACTTTAGTTTTCTTTATGTCAATGTATAAATTTTTCTTCTCATTCTCACAATAGATAAATTATCAAGTACATATAATTTTATTAAAAACAAAATTAACATGGAAAAGAAAATTATCAATAATTAATTAAACCAGGCCTTGAGCCCTTGAGTGTGTATTGATAAAAAAAAAACACTTTACCTAAACTAATTAAAATGTATAGTGGAAGAGCATTTCCTACATTAACTCATCAGCTATTTTCTTTTTCATTGGTACAATATTATTTTAATGAAATTGAATATGAACCACACAATGAAAAAAATGCTTTACATAAGTTCCATTGGCATCTCGAGACTGCAATCTATCACATGTTGTTCTTATTTTAAAAAAGTTAATACTCGTTAAACCACACCAATAAATCGTTAACTAATACAATTATGTATCCAGAAGATTCCTTATGTTCAGATTGTGTATTCATTTTCCACAAAAAGGTTTAAAAATATTTTAAGTTGTTGTATAAGTTTGAAATTTGCATCATTCCATTTTTCATCTAGTTATTGTTAAAAAACTAACAGGTCAACTTTTCAATCATTGACTTGTCAAAAGAGCAATTTTGTAATTTATTCAATACTTATCTTTTGTAATTTAAAAATTTTTATTTTCCATATTCTATTATGTATGAAAAAAGCTTTATTTTATGTTTTATTTCATTTTTAATACTCTCATGATCAACTTCCAATTGCAAATGAAATGCAATTCTCCACCAATAACAATATAAACTTTTAATTCACTATCTTTATTTGTTTTATGGAATTTGTGTCTCAATCATAATCAATCAACACTCATATCTTCCCCCATTTTCTTTTGGTTAAACTCTTACGTTCATTCAAGTTTAAAGAATCCTAGTAATCTTTCATGGTTTCTTCCCAAACCATTTTTACTCCATTTAGATTAAAATAACAAAAAGAGAAAATGAGGAAGCAATAAATTAATTTCATAAAATCTAACCTGTTGGGCATGCTCCAAGAGAAGGTGAGAATAGTATGGATTATTTTCCCTAAAGACAATTGATGCTGCTGCCAGTGCTGCAGCAGTTTCTCCGGCAACCTCTGAGCCGGGATGTTCCTCGTCAATCTTGTAAGCTGGTCGGGAAGTTCTCATATCCTCCGGCCGTTGCCAGCATTTATGATCAGATTCACCATCACCCACCTAAAAGTATTTGAATTATATCAAACTCAAATCTAATTTACATTTCTCGAACTATTCTGGACATGCGAAGACATAAAGTAGTTCACAAAGTCATGCATGCTAAAAATAGACAAAAATATTTATGAACCAATTGGAAATAAATAATTACAATACTAATAGTCCTCTTTTTTATATCTAAAAGTTTGCTCTTGTGATTTATTTTTCTTTGTCTCAAATAAATATTCCTATTTGATAATTCTTTGTTACACACACACACATGTATGTATATATATATATATATGTATATACATATATATATATATATTTATTTATTTCTTTTCTTTTTGTTCTACTTTCAACACTTTTTTTGATATTATAATACGTAATTTTATGGTTAGAACATAAAACACATACTTTAATAAATTATGGTAGATATTTTTTTGAAAGAAAAATGGAAACATTAAATAGTAACAAGAAAAGATCTTTTGGACAAAAGAAATATAAAAAAGAGAAAACAAAATGAGTTTACCTGAACCCATAGGACATTAGGCTCAGGATGTGCTTTGATGAAGTAATCAGTTGCCCATTTGATAGCATCAAGAGCATTTTGAAATTCACCGCCAGCAGCTACTTGTTCTTGATACTGCAGAACACTCCAAGACAACATTGTAATGGTAAATGCCATTGGAAGGCCAAACTTTATGTTGTCACCTGCATCATAGTATCCTCCTACCAAGTCCACCTGTTTAACCATAGAAAAGGAAATATTATTTTCTTGGGACAAGAATTATTTGATTGAGATCTGACTCCGTATTCTCGATATTAAAATTTAATTAATAATAAATACTAATATCTAACGAATTATCTTGTATGATGTTTCAATCCCCTTTATTCTATTTTTTATCTCAAAAAGAATATAAATATACATACCCCTTCTAATAAACCATCAGAAAGGCCGGAATGATGTCTCCATTTAACTCTTTGATTGTATGGTAAATGACCAGAACGTTGTGCTTCGAAATACAGAATACTTTTAGAAAGTGCTTCTCCATAGTTGAAAGATTGAATAAAAGGCAAAACAGAGATGGAGAATAGAATGATCCAATATAGAACAGATATCAGATATTTCTCCATCTCCTCTTACTGTATTTCTTTGATTTCTTTCTGTTGTACCCTATGTCTCAAAACAAAAATATATGTTTCCTTTGTATGTTATGCACCTGATATTATAAAGTATTTATAGTAACGATTTCACACACTTTATGTGTGCGTAATTTTCAATAACTTTGAATACAAAAAGGGAAGTAAATGAGAAAGGAAAATGGAAACAAGGTTTAAGAAGTTTCAATATTATCTTTCATGGTTTACATTGATTTTTTTAAGACATATTGAGAAATACAATATAGATTATATGAAAATCTTGATATAAATTATCAAAAATCTGAAAATTGACCCAAATGGTCAAAGGAAAAAATTGAATGTCCATGTAACACTACATTATAGAAAACCTCCTGCATTATGACATTTTATATTAAGAGACTATCTAAATGTTATTAAAGATATGCAATTAAGACTTTTGAGACGCTTGTCAAACTTTTCATTTTAGTAGTTACTTTACTACTAGATAAATTGTACTAGAATTGCGCAACATAGGACTCGAGTATTGAGGACTAATTTGAGGACTAATTATATAAATTTTGAGGACTAATTTGAAACTAATTATATAAATTTTTTAGTTGGTAGAACATGACGAAATTTAATAATTTCAGGACTCGAGTATTGAAAAGGAAACAAAGTCTTAAAATATTTTAATTTAGTCATGTTTATTATTAGGAATATTTTTGGCAAAATTTGTTCCCAGAAGAAAAAGTAAACAAAAGGAACAGAGTTTGTGAAAGGGAAAAAAGGTAATCCAATTTTGTTTAGAAGAAAGATTTCTAAGATAGATTAAAATAAATAACTGAAATAACTTAGTTCTATTGCTTTTTGTATGGAATAATTTTCGAAGGTTTTATTTTTCGAATTCAAAAATTAAAATAAGTAAATTAGCTAGTGTGGTAAGATGATATGTCCAAAAATTTCAAACACATTTTTAGTATTAAGGTAGGTGTCAAGTTCCACATGTCATAATTTTAACTTCGGTTTTTCTTTTCTAATATAGTAAGAAGTAAGATATTATTATTATTATTATTGTTATTATTATTATTATTATTATTATTATTACTATTATTATTATTTTAACAAGGACTTTCTCTCTAACTTTGATTTGCTCTCGGCGAACCACTGCAGTGTGCCCGTCATGACGAGACCGCAAAAGCAGAAGAAGGGGAAAACTGTTGATGTTGAGAACGCGTAGCCGGAAGAAGATCTAAAGGGATGTATGGAAGTGTTGTCGGGAAAAATGACTTATATATATCTCAAAAAATTTAAGAAGAACAAAATAGATCTGGAGTTTCAATTGTCGCCAAAACTAATTCTTTCGCGCTTCAAACACACAAAAATTGACAATATCGCATTTTGAAAACGCTAAAATAACATTTTCGCGTTTCAGAAACGCTAAAACTAGGATATCCTAATTAATTTAACTTAATTGTAATTAATTAATGGTAAAAAAATTGATTAAATAAAATTTTGCGTTTTCAAAGCGTGAAAAAAATAAAAAAGAATATTTTATTTAAATAAAAAAAGGAAATAATCATAAAAATTCGATTAATTTGCCTAGTTTAAAAATTTGTAGGCAAATTTACTTCGAAAAATTATTGAATTTTAATAATGAAATTAAAGGAAAATTTTAAAATTATAATTGATAATCATTAAATTTTGAATAGAGCTATAAAGAGGAAAATTATTAATAGGAAAATTATATTAATAATTTTAATAATAGAAAAATTAAATTTTGAATACGAATATAATATTATAATTGATACTCATAAATTAAATAGAGCTATACTAAATATAAATTATTAAAATTATGAAATAATTATTATAATTTATAAAATTTTTAAAAAATTATATTAAAAATTTAATCATTATTTTATAAAATAATTTTATATGAAAAAATTTTAATAATGATAAATGACGTAATTTTATGGATTTATAATTAAATGTAATTTAATTTACAAACTGTTTAAATTAATTATGACGGTTTCAATATAAGAAAAAAGCTTAAAATATGAATAAATTTTAAGAAATATTTATTATAATTTACAAACGCTTAAGATGAAGCAACTATTTTCTCTTCTTCGGAAACCTCACAAGGGAGACAGCAAAAATGTCGAAGCGAGGACGCGGAGGATCGGCGGGTAACAAGTTCAGGATGTCTCTGGGTCTTCCAGTGGTTGTGACGGTGAATTGCACCGACAACACCGGGGCAAAGAACCTCTACATTATTTCAGTGAAGGGAATCAAGGGTAGGCTCAGGAAGGGTAAGCCCGATCTCAGGAAGAAGGTCACGCCCGCAGTCATTGTCCGCCAGCGCAAGCCATGGCGCCGAAAGGACGGTGTCTACATGTACTTTGAAGATAATGCTAGAGTGATTGTGAATCCCAAGGGAGAAATGAAAGGTTCTGCAATCACTGGTCCCACTGGAAAGAAGTGTGCTGATCTTTGGCCTAGGATTGCAAGTGCTGCTAATGCGATTGTTTAATGCACCGCATCTTAATTTTGAAGAGAACTTTAGTTTACTGAATATTTGTTTTAGGTATCTGGTACTATCCTTTTGTGGATGTGGTAATTTTAATAGACGGTTGGTATGTAAGAGCTAAGAATTACATCTTTTGTTTAGATAAACTAAATACCTTGTTGTTTGTTTTTTTTAAAAAAAAGATGAAGCAACTATTAATTATTAAAAAAAATAAAATATAGTTTGAAATAAAATAAACTTTTTGTTTTTAGATTTGATCGGCGAAGGTGTGTTTGATAAATATTAATAAAGTAGCAACGATGCAGGTGAAATCATTGTTTGAGAATATTAATACAAGTCATAACAAAATACTACAAGTCATAACAAAAGAAAGAAAAAAAAACAAGTCATAACAAAAGGGAAAAAAAACAAGTCATAACAAAAGGGAAAAATTTTTTTAAAAAATACAGGTTTAATAATACTACATAAAAAGTCTAGTACCCTACTTCTTCTTGGACTTTTTAGCACGAAAATGGCTATAAGTCAATCTATCGGGCTCCTTTCTCACTCTCTGGCCTTTACTCAAAACCAACGGTGGAGTCTCTAGATTCTGACTCGGTCCCTGCTCCTCATGGCGCTGATAACCCTGACCCTCAAACTGATCCTGTTGGTCTGCATCCTCATCCTCATCTTCACCCTGACTCTCACACTCACCTCCAGCCGGGTCATCAGCCTGATGCTGACCCGCAACACCCTCGAACATACTCGAAAGAAAGTTACTCGTGTAATGTAACGACTGGCCATCTAGAGAACTTTGCTGGAACCCATAAAGGTCAATAAAAGAATCTCCAAACTGAGGCTGAGAAGGCTGATGGGAGGAAAACTGAGTGAAGGCAAAATGGGACTGCTGGTGCTGGGGAGACATAATGGGACGGTAAAACACCTGTTGGGTCGGCGAAACTGAACTGTGTAAAGAATGATGTGGAGAATGATGGGATGAATGCTGTAGAGAATGGTGTGGAGACTGATGTGGAGACTGATGGGATGAAAACTGAGTGAAGGGGATATGAGACTGCTGATGCTGGGAGGACTGATGTGGCTGAGTGGGCGTGATTGTCTCTTGCCTCCCACGCCTACGCTGAGACCTGCGCGAATGCCTCGGAGGTTTGGGAGGTGGATATTGTTGGGTCGGGTCTACAAGACCAAGTTCTTGACTCAAAATGTCATAAACCTCATCTTGCTTCTCGAGATTGTGACGTACAACATTTGTTGCATTAACGGACAACGCCCGCTCAGCAACCTGGACAATCTTGCCTAAGCGATCATAACCAAAGGAATCCTTGTCGAAAGTACGCTGGCCTATAATACTAAGACTATGAACGTCCTCCATCAAAGTGGCCTGAAATTTTTGTTAGAAAGAATCGTAAATCGATAACAATGAAAATAAATTACATAATGGACTGTAGGCGAAAGAAATTGTACGAACACTCACCATGAGGCGCAAGGTCTCTGTAGCGCCGTGAAAACCCCTCGTGCTTTCAGAGTCCGTCGGATCCGTAACATACTTTACAGTAACCTGATGGTACCACAAGAGATGTTCCGAATCTGCTATAGGCTCGCCAACATACTCATCATCAGTCCCGACAAGTCTGTTGTGGCGATCATTCCAAACCTGGAGATATATGCCTAGTTGTTGTGTCCAACTCCTATCGGATCTTCCAAACGGCTTCCTCTTAAGCAGGCTAGTAATTTCATCTCTGGTCAGAAGCAATCCGTCGCCGGGTATCCGCTGGTGATAACCAAATTGGCGAAATACCCTATTGGGATTGTGTGGCGCAATGACATCAACGCAGAGGAGTCATGTCTGAGATCGCCAGATGCCCTGTTCCTCAAGACAAACCCTGGCAATACGACCCAGAAGAGTCGTGTACGGCATCCTTACGAACTGCATTGGAATAAAGTAAGAGATAGGAAATTAAAAGTCTGGCACTATTAAAAAAATTTAAAGAATATGTTACAGTAATTGAAATGAATACTAACATCTGACTCTGCGAGAACTGCAAGCTGATCCCGGTAGGCGGCCAAATTGAACCGCGTGATACCTTGAACTTTTTTCTCATGGGACCACCTGCACGGAAAAACTAACATTAAATTGAGACATGACAGTCCAAATCACAATGTCAAAATTTGCGGAGGATCGGCGTGTAAGATTACGTCATGCCCAATGGACAATGAGAAAGATCGAGTTCCTCACCCAGTATCTTTGGATGAACCGTCAAAATCCGCTCCCAAGCCCAGAGCTGATTCAGAATTTATGGATCATTAGCTAATATCACAAATAATTATGGATGGATAAAAAATGAAAAGAGAGGGAAATGAAAAGATAAAATACCTAAAGAAGAATCACACAGCTGGTAATAGCCTTTGCGGAAGCGGCCAGAGATGACTTGGACATGCTTCGATACAAGTAACATAGTGCCGCGCTACCCCAACTGTACTCCGAGCATATCTCTAGAGTATGTAGAAAATGCACAAGTACGGGTGGAAAACTTTTTCTTGTAGTGTTAGAGAACAGTAATCCGCCAACTAGCCATCCAACAAAACAACGGGCTCATTGGAAGTGTGCCTCGTCGGGGGACTGGTCTGTCAAAGAATTGTTCTCTATATGAGTCTTTATCTTAGTGATGGAAACGCTAGTCAATTTGGACTCCTCTGTTTGGTACCTGAATCCAAACATCCTCTCCAAATAGGCAGCCCAACCACCTTCGGGCGTGGTATGATGTCCTGTAACCGGACGTCCATCAACCTGAAGCCCCAAAAGAACCTCAACGTCCTGCAGTGTGATAGTAGCCTCCCCAAAAGATAAATGAAAAGTATGGGTCTCAGGGCGCCACCGCTCCACAAGAGCTGTAAGTAGGGCATGGTCACATCTTATGGACCCAATTCTAGAAAACAGTCCAAAATCAAATTTCTCAATGTATTGTTTTGTCATCGTCTTAGCATCTTTTATATATTTCCATGCTGCACTATCTACGTGTCTGGGTTCCGAAATCTCTATATCATACTTGGCACCATAGAATATATTATGTGACCTTTGGGCGTTTTGGAGGAACAACAAACTATTGTGTCTCTAGGTCCCTGTCGTAGCTTTTTGGAGGTAGATTGGGAGGAAGAAGATGATCCAATCTCCATGGCTATAACAATTTATAAACAATTTTAGTAAGTACGGATTAATATTTATTATCCTAAAATTTAATTTAATTATCTATATAAAAATCCGACCTTAAATTTTAATTTAATGACTTAATTTTACTATCCCTAAATTTTATTTTAAAAAAACCCAACCCAATACCCAACCCTCTAAACCCAACCCAATACCCAACCATCCCAACCCAATACCCAACCTTCTAAACCCAACCTTCTAAACCCAATACCAAACCCTCTAAACCCAACCCAATACCCAACCTATAAACCCAACCCTCTGAACCCAATATCCAACCCTCTAAACCCAACCCAATACCCAACCCTCAAAACCCAAACCCACCCTGGAACCCAACCCAACCCCCCGAAACCCAAAATCCTAAGCCCACCCTCGGAACCCAAATCAACCCCTCGAAAGACAACCATAAGCCCACCCCCTTCAGAACCTACCCCCTGACTTCCCCGCCGGCAACCCTTTGTCAGAACCCACAAACTCCCCTGTCGGCAACCCCTCGTCAGAACCCACAACCCCGAATCTAAAAAAACAACCCACAACTACACCACTTGTCCTAGATCTATTAACGGAGGATTAATTCACGAATTAAAATAAAAAAAAAACCACAAATACGCTAAAAAGCATGAATTTAAAAGCATGAATTTGAAAAACAACGATTAAATGATTGCAAAATAACAACTTACCTCGATATATAGCCTAGAAAATACAAAAAATCGACGCCGAACTTGCTGCCGGCTTCTTGATGTTGTTTCGCCGGTTTCAATGGTTTTCGACGGTGGACCGGGAAAGAAAACAAGGAAGCGAAATGCAAATTCAAGGATTTAACCCACCAAGAATTCGTGTTTCAGAAACGCGAAATCTTTTTAACCACCAAAAATTCGCGTCTGAAATGCGAATTTTATTTAACCCACAAATTTCGCGTTTCCGAAACGCGAAATGTATTTAACCCGCTAAAATTTCGCGTTTCTAAAACGCGAATAATTTGACTCACCAAAATTTTGACACGTGGTTGAATCTGGTGAGTCATGTACAATATAACGTTTCTAAAACGCGATTCAAATGTTCCCGTTCTCCTTAAACTTTTTAATCGCATTTTAAAATTTCTAGTTTTTCGCTGTTTTAGCAATCTATTGATAATCGCAAAATTAAATTATAGTACATTCCTTTACATTACTATTAAATTTAGACACAAAACCGAATAAACAAATCACTAATTTTGTTACATAAACACAAACTGAATAACAACTAACACAAACTGAATCATCCTTTATCGTTTAAAACACAAACATCCAAACCAACATACTAACACAAATACAAATACAAACAGAATCATCCTCTGAGATTTATTACGGGAATGTTCAAAACAACACACCAACACAAACACTAACAAAATCACCACTACGCATCATCAGAATCATCAGAATTGATCTTAGGCACACCACAAATTCCATATGGATCGTAAAATTTATCTATAGCGGTCCTGTCAGTAGGTGGATGAGAAAATAGGCATTCCACAGCATCATGATCTAAACTTCCACATCGAGCGCAAACTGTCGCATACGGGCATGCCCTGGCATTATGGCCCTGTAGTTTACATAAACTGCAAGTTTGGAGTCTTCGCTGGCCAGATTTGCTTGTATAATCCATCACACCTTTTTTTCGATTCACACGCTTTTGACCCCGCCCAGCATGGTGGACAAGTTTAGTGTCATCTGGCCTGATCTGCCACGTTGCCTTTGGCCATGGTTCCATGATTGGGTTAAATTCTCCAGAAAACTGATGGTACCATCATTGCATAGTGTAACATGTATCAAAAAGTAGGAAGGGGTCGTCACCTAGCTCACGGGCAACTCGAAGTGCATGGGAACAAGGAAATCTAGTAGTCTGCCACCCCCCGCAAGTGCACTCTCGATCTGCATAGAGCACAACTTGCTTCTCCTCAGCCTTCCATGGTTGATTATCAGGTGCTATTATAACCACTTCGTACTTCTGGTTTCTCTTGCTAAACCGGTTTACCTGTTGCCTCATTGATTTCTTTCGAGCCTCTTCATATAGTTTCATGGGCTTAGGAGCTAGAACAGTCTGACATATCTGGATCATATCAATGTTTCCCTGAAACAAATTGTTGCTTTTCTGAAAGGATGCTAGGATCAAAGCTGTGACCGGGAAGAATCTAGCCCCTTTCAGAACATTATTGAAACTCTCTGAAATGTTAGTGGTCATTTCTCCCTAACGATGCCCTCCATCGTAAAAACAGGTCCATTTCTCAACACCCAACTTCTGAAGCCAACGAGCTGCCTTGTCATTTTTTTCTTCTAATTTATGCCACTCTGCCACATACTTTGTCTTTTGTGTTGCTGAACTAATCATTTAACAGTTGCCTCCCAGTTTCTCCTTTCAAAAATGCCCAACCAAGTTTGCTTTAACATGCTCTAGACAATATCGGTGGACTCCCATCTCTGGATATTTTTGCAACATGATTTCCATGGCAGTAAGGATACCCTGATTTCGATCAGAGATAATACAGGTCTTCCTATCCTGTAGAACAAATTTTTTCAAATATTTCAAGAACCATTTCCAGTTGTGTATGGTCTCTTCGTCCACAAGAGCAAACGCGATGGGAACAATTGTGCCATTTGCGCACTTCACGCATGCCACAATTAGTTTTCCTTTGTAGGATTCTCGAAGGTGGGTGGCATCGATGGTTATTACTGGCCAGCAAGCATGAAATAATTGTATAGAAGGCCCAAATGCCCAGAAAACATACCTACATACAAACCTTTGCGAGCTTCCTGAATTTTTCTTAAACTTGAATCACACACAGGTGTCCGGGTTTGACATGACCAATGCATCAAGGAAGCTGGGCAGTTGTTGAAAATTACTTTCCCATGTACCATACAAAGCCTGATAAAGTGCTTTTCTTCTATCATGTCATGCCTTCTTGTAGCTACATTCGACTTGGTACCTCTTGAAAACTTCTATTTGAATTTGGGCAACAGTAAAATCTGGATGTTTTCGCACATTTTGGGCAACCAGTCTAGTAATCATAGAAGACGTCACGTTTCGGGACTCGTTTCTCTTGTTTGTCCCAAGACAGTTGTGGGAATCGGACCATACCACCATTTTCCAAGTATCGGTGGCCTTCTGTAGCGAAACTTGCGCCTTCCACAGGCAATCATAGTCGTGAAGACGCTCTTTCGGATATTTGGGCCCACAGGTCTCGCATTCGACATACCATGTTCCTTTAGAGCTAGTATTCACCCGGAAAGTCCGACCATGTCTCAAGTTCCATTCTCCCACTGCCGCCTGTGCCTCAAGCTTGTTGGTGAAATGTACATCAAGGTCAACCGTCATCGCATTGCTGTCCCACATTTTTATCCCATCAGAATCTTCTTCCTCTAAAGTCTTGTCCCATCCATTGATGTCATCGAAAATATATGGTACTGAAGAAGATGAATCAAAATCAGTGTCATCATCTGAGTCCTCATCTGATGGGACGTACCCATCGTCACTGGTTTCGACACCCCCGCCATCTTCATCTTCTTCTCTATCTTCATTTTCTTCAACTGTTCTACCACCACTAGTGCCGGCACCAATATCCTAGCCATATGTACTTGCATAAACATGGCCTATTCTCTCAACATTTTCAGGGTACAATTCCGGCCATTTATCAGCACAAAGATAGAGGAACCGTATAGTATTATCATCATTAATGTGCACACGAGACCTTTTCCCTGACCTCTCCGTCCATACCAAAGAAAAATCAACATACAGCCATTCTCTATCAACTTCCATAACACCACATACCTTATCAACAAGTTTCGAGAAATCTAACATACCATCAATAATAAGATAACCGTCTGGCGCATCCCGCTGTACCGTGATAAGTCTCATCAGGTTCAGTTGTATAAGTAGTATTCCAGTATACTTTCAGACTGTCTCTGCAGAAGACATTTATGGCCTGCAAAATCAATTCCTACGAAATTAGAACACTAGATTCAACATAAATACATTTTGAATTTTAGTTTTGCCGAAATAGTATTTACCCCGTTTACAGATTTAATAATTTCAAAAGAACAACTATACGCCTGAATTTAATAATTCAGTTCTACACTTAAAATATTTTAAAAACTCAATCTGGGTATTATAAACTTTTTCAGAAACCAATATACAATAAATTTCAAGAATCATCTAATTTAACAACAGCACACGCAATCTTCGATTGTATTTTACAAATTTTACAATCAAAGAATTTAAATTAATATTAAATCTAAATCTTGTGTCCGAATTACATAATTTATTCTTATGATAAAAATATTCAAAAATTCAATATCATTATTATTATTTTATTTTATTTTACAGAAATCGATATAAAATAATTTACAAAGCTCATCTAATTTAACATTCTATTAACTAATATTTCTTTCAATTCACTTTATCAGCCTAATTAAAAATCCACCATTAATTGAGTAAATCACAATTATTTATTAACTAATAATAATGCGTAAATCATCCTATACTCACAATAAGGCATAAAAAAGTACATGTTTTCTATAACGAAAAAAATTACCTGAATGTTTAAACTTTGGGTTTGAAATAGACTTCAGGACTCAAATCAATTTTCTTTAACTTCGGAGCAACTTCTCAATTTCAAGGAGAGTTTTCCTAGATTCAGCTAAGTCCTCCGGAGTGAAACTCAAAATCGGAGCTCAACAGAACGAAAGAAGGTGGGTTTGGGAAGAAATGTTGTTATTTTGCTTGGTTTGGTATGTGAATCTTAAATTTCGCGGGTACAAAACGCGAATACATTCAAGACTTATCAGCAAAGTACACATGGAGCCGAATGAGTGGTTAAGGAGATTTTCCGGATATTTTCACGTTTTCAAAACGCGAAAATCAATTTTCGCGTTTTTAAAACGCTAAATTGTCACAGCTTTGTGAATTTATATATTTTCTGGATGAAGTCTAAAATAAAAAAAAAAATTTAAATTTATAGGTTTTCGTGTTTTTTAAACGCTAAAACTTTGTTCGCGTTTCTGAAACGCGAAATACAATATTCGCGCTTTCAAAATGCAATTTTTGGTTTTCCTTTTTTAATTCCATTTTTTTTCTTTATTTTTTCCCGGATCAATTTGTGGAAAAAATAATTAACATGCGTTTCACAAACGTGAAGTTTTAATTTAATTTTTTCATTTCGCCTTTTTAAAGCGCAAGAAGATTAGAAATGTCTAGTTTTCAAACCCTAGACATATTTTTTTCCACGACTTTGGGTCTGAGCCACCCTAAAGTCAAGCACCCAGTGTTGTCACCGGTGAAAGCTATTGTGCCGCAATTGGAGGCTTCTGTCTTCTAAATCTAAGAGTGAATCAGGTTGTTGTATCTATTCTCTGAATTCGCATGATAAGGCTTTAGAATCATTGTGTAAGCAAAGGATTGTGAATTTGGGTAAAGAGATTGGTTTGAGACAAGGGGAAGAAATAGACAGTGGGATAAAACAAGGTAATTGGAGCCCTAGGAACTGGAACAATTTGTTCAAAGTAGAGACTAAACTGCAATATATTGAGCCTCAAATTGGTGATGATAGGAAAATTGCTAAAATCGATCAGGTAGAAGTTCAATCTGAAATAGAATACTAGAGTACTTCGGTATTGTGCTATGTTTTGAGGGCTCACCCTACCTATCCAGTGATGAGCGGGTACATGCGAAGGAACTAGGGGTATCTTTGTATTGATAAAATTTTGTTGCTGGACAATGGTCTGTTCATTGTTAGACTCAGAGATATAGCTGCTAAAGAGGAAATGATGAAACATCATATATACCACTTTGACATAAGCCTTTTATTGTCAAAGCTTGGTGTAAGCAAGAAGGGATAAAACTTGAGGAAGTTATAAAAATTCCAGTGTGGGTGAAATTGCCAAACCTTCACTTAAAATTTTGGAGTGCATCAACCTTGGGCAAGATCACTAGTACTATTGGGATACCTTTAAAGATGGATGATAACACTGCTCAAAAAATTGTGTTGCCTTTGCTCGCATTCTAGTGGAAATGGAAATCAAGGAAGAAATGCCAAAAGAAATTCTGTTGAAAATGAGCATGGCAATGTGCTCAGTCAGCCTCTGCAATATCATTGGCTTCCGATGAAATGTTGCAAGTTTGCTGGTTCTGGGCATGAGGGAGCAAAATGTAGGATGGGAAAACCAAGGCTACCACAAGTACATAAGCAAGTATGGAGAAAGAAGGAAACATGGAAAGAGCAGAAAATACACAAGGAAACTCAAGATGGAAGGGTTATGCATAACTTTGAAGTAGAGGATTCTGAAATCAGTGAAGTAAAGAGAAGGAATTAAAATTTGAAAGATACTCCAATGGAAAGTATGAACAGAAGACAGCATGGTGAAAGGAAGGGTGTTAAAGAAGGAGCTGTAAAGTATACCATAATGAGGCCTAGACTCAATGGATAACCTGCTTATATGGAATGTAAGAGGACTAAACAGTCCCGTGAAGCACAGGGAGGTTCAACATGTGCTCTCTATGTATAAAGTAGGGTTAGCAGGACTTTTAGAAATAAAATTAAATGGGAACATGATAAAGGAGCTAATGGAAGAAAAGTGGGAACAGTTTACATATCACAGTAACATGTAGCACAAGGGAAAGGTAGGATACTGCTGGGTTGGAATGCAAAGGAATTTGATGTGGAAGTTTTGATTTCGAAAGAACAACTGGTACATTGTGAGATAAGAAATGGGAGTAGACAACCTTCATTTATGCTAACAATATTATATGGAGACCCATAGGCAAATGGTAGAAGCAAACTATGGCAACAACTGCTTAATATTGCTGCAAGTCACAAGAGCTTGGCTAGTTGCTGTGAACTTCAACAGCACTTTAAAAGCGGAAGAAAAAGATGGAGGATCAAGAGAAATGAGTATAGATACAAGATGTTCAACTTTACTGCAGAGCAATGCCAGTTATGGGACATGAAAACAAATGGTGGATTATTCACTTGGAGTAACAAAAGGATTCGTGAAGACAGAATACTAGCAAGGTTGAATAGAACAAAGATTAATGAGGAATGGATGCAGCTTTATGAGGAAAGTTTCACAACTATGTTGCTGGCTGGGGTGTCTGATCATAGCCCACTACTTATACAACTTAACCAACAGATGAGAAGGAAGAAGGCAGCATTTGAGTTTTATAACATGAGGTGTAAGGGAAATCATTGCAGCTCAACCGTAAATCCAGTAGTAGGATGCATGCAATACTAAGTTACCAAGAAGCAACCAAGTCTAAAAGGAAAGCTTAACGAGTTGAATAGGCAATGATTCTCTGATATTGAACAGCAAGCTCAAGAATGCAGAAGGATCATAGAAGTGGTACAAGAAGAATTAGGAAAAGAGTTCATGGGATATAGAATTGCAGAAGAAAGAGAAGATTGTTGTTAGTGATTATATACAAAAACGTCAGGCTGTGATTAGTTTCTGGAAGCAGAAGTTGAAGGAGAACTGGGTGACGGAGGGTGACTTAAATACTGCACCAGCCTCAAAAGCAGGAGAATACAAAATAGAATAATCTCTTATGACAAGGAGAATGGGGAAACTGAGAATGAAAAATGTAGAGAAACACTTCATTAATTACTTTGAAGATATATTGGGAAAGGAAGTAGGAAGGCAACCTGCATGAAGAGAAATATTTGAAGCTGGGCAGAAATTGATAGTGATGCAACAAGTGGAATTAATCAGGGATGTGACTAAAGAGGAGATCAAAACAGCATCATTTGAGATTGACATCATTAAAAGCCCCGGACCGGATGATTTGGAAGCGGATTCTATAAGCATGCTTGGGACATAATAGGTACTGATATCTCTAAGGCTATTTTATAATTTTTTTCACATCGGAAAAATTTTAAAACAGCTTTCTTGATTCCAAATGATTTGCCTAGAAATGCAATGGAATATAGACCCATTTCGTGTTGTAATACGTTATGTACATACACGCATTTCCAAAGTATTATATAAAGGTTGAGCAGGTTATTGCCTGATTTGATGGATCCCAACCAAACAACATTTATAAAAGAGGAGAATTTTACATAATATTTTGTTAACTCGGGAGCTAGTTAGACTGTATAAACAGAAGAATGTAAAACCTAGTTGCATGATGAAGGGTGAAAGAAGGAAAGCGTATGAGAGTGTTGGAGTTTTTTTTTTTTTTTTAAAGAAGAAATGACAGTAGCTTATGAGTTTCCACAGAAGTTTACGGGATGGATAGTAACTTGTATGAAGAGTTGTACCTATTCTTTGAATTTAATGGAAGTAGCACAAGGTATTTTTAGAGACGAAGGGGACTGAGGCAGGGAGACCCCATATCCCCTTGGATATTTGTTATGGTAATGGAGAATCTCACAAGGGCATTCAAATTGGAGATACAGAAGAAGAAGATTTAGTTTCACCCCAAATGTGGCAAAGTAAAAATCATAAATTTGGGGTTTGCAGATGATTTGATTATATTGTGCAGATTAGAAACAAAATCTGTGAGCAGAGTTAAAGAGACATTGTAGCATTTGGGGATGTCACTGGACAGAGAATTAATCAGGCAAAATCCAACTTATTTTGTGCTGGAAGAAATGAGCATTTGGAGCAACAGGTGAATGAGATAATGGGATGTGAAGTAGGGAAGTTTCCCAATGAGATATTTGGGGCTACCTATTTCATCAGCAAAATGGAATAGCCATGACTGTTAGCAGTTGGTGGAAAGACTCACCAAAAGAATTAAGTGTTGGAG